TCTCTCTCTCTCTCTCTCTCTCTCTCTTGCTTTTAACTTTTTTTGCAATTGAATAACTCTAAAGAAAGAACTTGTACATAATATAATATAATAAAAAAGAGAACGCTATAATTAGCTGTGAATATTAATAAACAGTATTGAGTTATATAATAAGTGATTTCGGATTTTTCAATAGATAATGTTATCGTGTTTTACGCAACACACTTAAAAAATCATGATATATGCAAAACTTGCAACTTCAATAAACAAACATGATAACAGATTTATTTGAAAAACTCGAAATTTACTTATTACAGCCCAATATATTAACAATTTTTATTCTTTTTCGGACACTTTATATATGATGTATAATTAAGTTAACTTTTAGGTGTATTAACATTTAAAGATAGATGTCATTGAAAGTTCGCAAACAAGTTTCACAAATTTGGTAAAACGTCGCTTACAACATCATTGTATTGTCATTCTTTATCTCGTAGTATTATTGATGATTGTAATTGGCTATCTGCGAATTGTAGACATTTATTGCTAGAGTTATTTGAGCGTCTATCTTATATATCATCGGTTTTTATACTCATTTGTTATCGTCTCACATCTCAATATCTAGTACGTGAAATGACTTTCATTTAGAAAATTACTTTTGTGACGGAAAGATTATATCGAGTGCAAATAGTTAATTCTAGATGTTGAGAATTGGCTACGCACAGCTTCCGCACAGCGCTAATAGGACGTCACATTATTTTAATGCTTTCCTAAATATATGATCACTTTACTTTCTCCTCAAGTGTTGAAAAATAACAAAATATATTATATTTTTTATATGAGAGATAGCACTATACGGCAGCGCGAGAACTCGCTATTACTATTCTTCGCAAAAACCGCTTCTTAGTAAAATCGTTTATTACGGCAGCAGCCGTGTGCTATGTATCCTTACTGCCGTGTTACGTAACAGAGAAAACCGACAAATCCACCTGGTATACCTAGCGGTCGCAAAAATCACAAATGACGGTGATATAATAATCTTTGAGTCAGCAACATAGAAAACGGGATATGCTCATCAATAATAATTAACGGTGAAAAAAAAAAAAACAATTGCATAGGAGAAATTCGATATGGACTTTCTATATATGTGGACCTGTTTTATATTATTATTATATTATTATATTATTATATTATTATTATTTAATTATTATATTATTATATAATAATTTTTACATATAACAAAAATGCACTTTCTTAGTTATCTTTATTGAACGCACTTGATACAAATACACATGCATCGTAGTTATTTGGTTTGCAATCAGCATTTTTTTGCTGCTTTTTGTTTCAAAACTATGCTTGTTGGAAATAAGTACAGCTGTTATTCCGGCTCACTTTGTTGCATTGAGCCAAAAGCGTGACTCTCGATTCAACGAGATTATACGTTCGAGCACTTTTTGTCACTTATCGCCGAGCGATGACACACTCTCGTCCATTTCATGCTTAAATTGCCGCTATCAAACCGCTCGTAAAGAGCAAAATTCAATTGTTTAAGCACCACTTCATTACGTAGTGAACGGCGACACGCGTTATATACGAGGCTACCTATGTGCAACGTCAATCGATAATTACGCTGAAATGCTCAACTCGAATTAACTCTTTTATTTAGCAAAAAAGAAAAAAGAAATTCCATTGTCATATTATTAATTTAAAATTATTATCTTAACGAACTTAACGAACTCATTCATTTTTTAAATATTTAATAAGCATGCAATCTAACTCGCCAGTGCATTAAAAATATTTGAACAATACATTATAATAATTAGAACATTTGTTTTTTTTGTAAAATAATTATTTTGATCCTCCGAAAGTTTTATTTTAAATTCTAATTAATGCAAGTAGCTTAATTGATATCGATAACGCAAATAATTAGGTCACTTCCTCTTATGTCATCAACAAGTCAAAGTGTCACTTGACACGACTGCACGTGACACACATGACGCACGCGATTGATATGTGATAAGCTTAAACGATATTGAATAAATTTTGATAAGTTTTTCGGACAGCTTTAATATTGGATGTGAAATGTCAATATTACGTCTAAATGTTTTTAAAAAATCGTTAAATTTAGTTGGTAATATAATACACGAAAAATAACTCGTTTATATGATATTATAAAACATAATTAATTTCAAAAAAAGTAATATATCTTATATTACATCAATTAAAAAAAAATTTCAATATTTAAGAATTCAAAAAAATTCAACAATATTCTTTAAAAAAATTTAATTGGAAATAATAATCTCAATAAACTTTTGGAAAAAATTTTTTTGGTTTATAGAAATTTAATAATTCTACTTCTTTCCTTGTTGATGATATAAATTGTTTATAAATGAAATATATTCTTACTATTCTTTACTAAAGATATTTTATTTAATCAAGTGTGGAATAACACTCACACATTTGGCATGTTCTAAGCTATATAAATATTAACCCAGTTTATTGAAGCGTGTTGTTATTATAGTAATAATTATTCATATGCTTATGTAATTAATTACATATTTAGTTTAAATAACTAATGATAATTTATTTAAACAACTGATGATAATTTATTTAATTGTTTTATAAACATTTATTTAAATTTTGCGTTATGTAACTATTTGCTAAAGAACTGGTTTAGTTATTAACATATAAACTGATATCAACGGTGGAAAAACACGTAGGAATTGTGTCAATAATTATGATAGTTGTGAGTGGAAGACGATTGTAGAAATTATCGAAAGTTATATTTATCTCATTAATTAGAAATTTCGAAATGTTAATTGTGTTTTAGATTCTTCAAGCGGTATTCTTCTTAATATGTTTTCTCAACGACTTAGTCGGCACAAACGCCGTAAATCCCAAAAAGCCGCCCTTCACACGGAAATTGAAGGATTACTTCCATGCGAGTCTCGGGTTTCCCATTGCCATGGTGAGTGTAATTAATTTTTTTCATACTATTGCATTTGCTTTCAAGTTGCAATAGTTTAACTTTGCGGTGGGAGAAAAATATCCTTGAAGCAACGAGTAAATAACTAAAACAGAATGTCTCGCATGTAGTAGAGCAGACTTGTCATGCATACTTGTTATGTAATAAAAGCGCAATTCACTATATAACGCAATAGTTTGGTATTTTGTATAACTCGTTAAAAGCGTGTTCTTTTTTTGTTTTTGTTTTTTATATTCTTAATTCAGTCTTGCAAGCGTACGCGTGTAATATGTCTCGTTGGTCAAAATAAATTACGAAATGAGTACTAATTTTACGAGACGCGTAAAGAAATTATGTTCGATCAGCTGTAAATAAAGAAACTTTATTTTCAAAATTCTTTTTATATAAAGATATATTTTAATTTTCTTTGAATGATAGCCATCTGAGTTAACAGACTTGTCATATCGCTGAACAGCTTTGGAATTCTTTCTTCGAAGATTTCGGCCATCAGAGACTCGAGCCATTTTTCAACTGCATTTTTCACTACATCGTCGCTGTCCATTTTTTGCCAGGCTAGAAATATCTTCAGACAAGGGAGAAAGAAATGCTATTGCTATTCTCTGCTTTCTTGTGATTTTTAGTAAGCTTTCGAAAGTGACGATGCGGTAAGAAGTGCAGTCAAGTTTGAGTCGAAGATCGACATTCGAAAGCTTGTATTGCGATATAACAAATGTTTTCAGATGGCGATTATCCGAAGAAACAGATTAAAGTAAAGCAAAAATAAAGTAATAATTTTGAAAATAAAGTTTTTTCATTTGCTAATTGAAACTTTATTTCTGAACACGCTTCGTAATGCTTTTTATACGTGAATCGACATCTTGTATGAACACAATTTTCCATCAAATGGTATTTATTTATTTTTGCTGAAACGATGTTGAATATAATGCCGATTTTGCCTTCTTACAGTTCGTTGGCGTAACTTTTTGGGCGTTGATGTTAGTCGACCGTGAGCTAGTATTACCGAAAGCATTGGATCCATACTTTCCATGGTGGTTGAACCATTTAATGCACACGATGATCGTAATAACGACTACAATCGAAATGATTATCGCGCCACGACAATATCCTAAGCGGTCTCGCAGCCTTGGAATACTCGCGATCTTTATGCTTACATATTTAGTTTGGTAAGTGAAACGAAACCCGCATATATCCGGTTCTTCCCCCCCTCCCACCCCTTCCGTAATAACATGCTATGAAACTTATCGAAGCATTCTATATATTTCAATGAAAATTGCAGGATACACGTAATCTACTACAAAAGTGGCGTCTGGGTGTATCCTGTATTCGAAGTATTGACGCCGCCGCTGCGGATCGTGTTCTTCCTAGTGCTGCTAACATTCTGCACGATCCTCTACTTCGCCGGGGAGGCGCTGAACAACCTCATTTGGGGTAACGAACATACTAAGCATAAAAAATCTCACGCCAAATCCAAGTAGCCTCGTCCAAGCGTCTCTAACGGGTGACAAGTCGCATCACGTTCTGCCTGCCGCCTGCGGTGGTGGTAAATAAAACAAAAATGTATATTTTCTACACCTCCGTTGCAGCATGCACGTATGTCATTTAGCGGACATATAAACGTCACTTAGAGAATTTTTAGCGTTGTGTATGTGCATGCAAGGCGCAGTTTAAGGTATAACGGATGAGGATCAGCGCGATTGTTAACCCAGCGCGGTGGAGATAACAATAAAACGGAGCCAGGAGCCAGGAGCATGCAAGGTACAATGCATTTGTATGTGAGATCAAGGGAGACTAATTTATATGGTGTTAGTGTTTTTGCGCGCCGATCGAATAAAATGATACGCACTTATCAATCCCTCCCCACGATAATATTTATTTTTGTACTTTCGTAGCGAACGATTTATTATATTATTTTTATTGATAAAAAAATTAATGCACGGAGAGAATACGTGTGTAATACATAATATACTACTAGCACACGTGACAATTTGCCCGAACTAAAGTCCAGATATATTTGTGATCGAGTGTAGGAAAAAAATACGTAGCGGTAATGGAGAGCGTCGAACCGGATTTGAAAACGTAGAAACGGCTGACGGACAAGAGGAATCTTAAATGTCGTAATGTACCGATCACCGGAAGATAACGTCGCCGAAGACATTTTCTTGCAACAAGTGAGAAGTGCCTTGGCGAGACCTAGTACATTTACAGTACGAAGATTAACTCCGACGTAGACATTAATGTTCTATTGTATGATTATTGGTGCAGTTTTTCATTCAGCGAGATATTTAGTGATACGTACGGCCTAAGGATTAATATTGATTGTCGATATTTTCCCAAATATTTTATTAAATAAGTTGAGGGAATGAATCTTGATATCCGTTTCGTGCCAAAAAAATATGATTTAAATTAGAGCGTACGTCATCACAGGGATCGACGTGTAATTAAAAATATGTATTGTTTACATATTTGTGTGATTGGATTCTATAATTATAATTCATTCTACAATAAAAATTTAAACGTCAATGATTTTACTCCCGGTTTTTCTCGAAGAAATGGAAAGCAAAGATTTAATGCAGTAATTAATCTTAACTTATTGTAAAGAAGCAATATATGTGTGCACACGGCCGCATTTGCCATAAGGCGCATTAGGCGCGAGCTGGGGCCTCATTTTAAAACCTTACTCCTCACAAATAACAATATAAAAAACAGCCTAGTTATAGTTGCAAAATAAAATACTTGCTTTTAAATATTAAATTCATAATATAAAAATTAGAGGCCACTGAAAAATTTGTAAGTGGCAATTGTTTATTAAATTTCGCCTTTTTGCATCATGTAACGCATGTCGAATTTTATTTTCAATAAACTTAAAAAAAAAAAAAATGCGTATGACTTGATTAACTGAAATAGACTTGTTCTTTTGAGGCCTCATATTGATGTTGCGTCTAGGGCCTCCAAAAGTATAAATGCGGCCCTGTGTGTGCAATTTTAGGCACAGATTTAAAAATATTGAAAGTAGCGAAACTAAATTTGGAAAAAAATGCGATACATGTATATTTCATATCAATAAACACACATATACATGAATAATAAATGATTAGCAAACATTTGTTAATCGTGTATATTCGGCGAAATGTGGTTTTTTAGATTCATATTATCGATATTGTTAAATATTGCTTTTCCAATTGAATTTTGGAATATGACGCAGAAATAAACGACAAATATTTATTTGTTATTAAAATAAAGATCGCGTTCGATGTCTTGTATCTTATGTATCCTATAAATACGAATGTGACTTGAATTATAGTTAGATTACGATAGATAAATAGATTTCTTTGTCACTAATTTATAAGAAACAGCCATATAACATCTAAAAATTATAAAACGCATTTTATTCAGCCACTTGTTAAAAAAATATAAAAATCAGTATACCTTATTGTCATACATGTAGAGAAAGGATGTTCGATACATTCTTACAAACGCTCGAAGATATACTACGAAGGAATACAATGCCCATGATGCGAGTGGTCGGTTAACGCCGTATCGAGATTCGATTATTGATTTCGATGACAAAGCGTAGAAAAATAACGATACTCATTATTGTACATATACCTTTTCAAATGTAGTCCGGCTTTTGTTATTGCACGCTACATATTTTACAATAATAAAAACTCACAAATCACACAATCTCATTTTCGTTCAGTAAATATCGTAATGATTGTAAGAGAGAGCGTCAAAATGAACGTACAGTCCGCCTATGTCTAGCGATGCAATAGTTAATTCAATAAATGATTATACTACCTAACGCACATACTTATTATACGCACCTAACACACACATGTTCTTGCTTCTCTTCATTGCGGCGATAATTAAGTCCTAGAAACCACAGTGTTCATTATGTTGTCGATATTTCGCTTTAATTCTTGCATCTTCGAACCGTCAAGAGGCAGTGATTTTATTATACGCACAAGTCTCTGTTGAGCACTTTTAACAGAGATAGTCCTCACTTTTATGCCACGATGTTCTTGCTCTTCTTCAATTGCGGCGATATTTGAGTTCCTTTAGAACTGCAATGTCTGCTATTAATTATTTCGTCGATACTCTGCTTCAGCTCTTCCATCTCGAGTATGTCGAGCGGCAGCGAGGTCTGCGTCGCCATCTCTCTCGCGTTCGTCTGCCCGTCGCCCTGCAATAATCTCGTCAATTCTGGATAACACGAGCTGAGACTAGAGCCCAAGTCGGCCATCATAGCTTTCCTGTATACGTCCTTCTTTTCATTTTCACTCTTCATCTTACTCTCACTAGTCTCCTGAAACAGATGCTTCAAGATAGTTTCGTCCTGTAGGACGTATTTGCTCCTATGACTACTGTCGCGGTTTCTCCTGTCGCTCTCGTGACTATAACTCTTGCTATTCTTATTGCTGCTTTTACTCTTGCCACGCTCGCGAGTGTCCTCCGAATCTAACATCTTCGCTTCTTCCTCCGGCTGGCTGTCTTCACTATCGCTGTCCTGCTCGTCCTCTTTCTCCATGTTGCCCGCCTCGACATCTTTATCAGCCAGATCTTGATGCCTCTTCTCATCGCTACTTAAATTCTCGTCACTACCGCTCTGTCCTCTTGGGAACAAAAAGGGCAGCAGCATGCCCGCGTTTTTGGTATCGATGACTTTCGAGCCCAAGACTCGCTCGTCCAGTCCGGCGTTCCCCGATCTTCTGCCCATATTGGGCATTTGAATTGGTATTTGCGTCATCAGTTGACTATCCTGAGAAGTGGTGCTGCCTCTTCTAGAAAGTGGATCGATCTTGCCCGCTCGGGATTTTCCGAAATCTCTTCTGTTCTTTCCGCGACGTCCGCGCGACCGGTTGGCGACCTTCCGCGTCGTCTTCACCTGCGCGATCTGCACGGATATCTGCGAGTCCAGAGAGTTACGTCTGGATTCCATAGAAACGCAGCGAAAGCTATAACTGATCTCGGAATCCGCAGAGTTTCGTCTGTTACTAGACACAGACCCGGTAGTGCCGACTAGTGCACCTCTTCGCGTCACTAACTTGGGCAGGGCAGCTGCCCAGGTGGAGCTAAAGTCCTGTGAAGCCGCGGAGTTGAGATCGAAATTCAATCCGACCGGATCCTCATGAGTGTTGTGAAAACTAATGGACAGACGTCCGGCCTTGTTGAACGTCTTCCGGTTCGCGAATAAGTGTGCGATGAGTTTGTGCTTGCTCAATTTTATGGGAGGCTCTTCAGATTCGCTGTTGGAGATTCTGCAAACGAAGAGAGAACGCACGCTATTCAGAATCGCATTGTCAGCGACAAAAGGCAAATCGACGGAATAAGTATTTAACATGTGTCGAAATTTACCTCTTTAAAAATCTGCACCAGGTGTCAACCGTCGAACTAGTCCAAACCCAAGAAGACATCAGTATGCCGGCGGAAAATGGTGCAAGCAAATGCAGTTGCAATTTTCCTGTGCTAGGCCTCGTGTCCATTTTACATTCCGACATATCCGAGTACTTCGTCGTTATCATGCATCTTCAAATGAGCGCAACATTCATTACTTATTGATAATGTTTGACAAGTATTACGTTTAATAATGCCTAATGCTTAGATATTTATACAAAATTTAATATTGCGTATACTTTGCTCCAAGTACGCTTTAAATATTACAACATTGAAATTCTTACATCATGTAATTCCTGAAGCTTCGATGCCATTGCCAAGAGTGTTGAAACTCGTAAATGTGACAATAAAATGTTATAACAATCGCCGCAAAAGTTAATATGGAAAAAAGCCCCATTCTGAGAATGGTTTGTTTTATCTTTGAACTTGCTCTTTCGGATATGATTTCCTGGCTGCTTATTTTTAAACGAATAAGTGTGTAGAGGCCTAAAATATGCAATAATAACAATCAAACGACAATTCTTTAATATATTATGTAATAACAGATTAATACTCACATTCATATTAATACAGAAAGCATTAAAAATATGAAAATTTTATATTATTACCATTACTTTCATATATATTGGTTACTTTTCAGCAAGGAACATAAATCAATTTCATGGGTGGTTTTTATAGTCCAATTTTATATTCTAAATCGTCCTGAATAGTTTGGAATTCTTTAAAGATAAACAATGATAGAGAAAAAGAGGAATAAGAATTAGAAGCGCGGTTGTCGGAGCGCAAGAACTATTAGCTATTATAAATTTATGTACAAAAAAAGTTTTGGTTACAAATTTTAACTCTTTTCAGTGAAGAAGGCCTGAAATTGAACCTAAAACTATTTTTGCATTAATTTAGAATAGTTAATAGTCTTTGGCTCTGACACAACCAGACTTCTGGTTTTAATTTTCTTTATCATTGTTCAAATTCATAATCACGAAGATAAATCACTGAGATAAATTTTTTACTTAACATTTACAAATCTATATAGCATTTTAAAACCGTATTAAAGACAAATTTGGATATAATATTGGATTATAAGAATTGCTCCAGAAATCGACTACTGTTGATTTGTGTTCTCTGTTGAAAAGCAGCCATTGAAATTACAAATATATAAAACAATATTTACCTCTACATAGAAAATATCCTCCTACTAACACAACAAGTAATATAGGACCCAGTACAAATCCAGCCCTCGCTGCATGATTGGCATATCCCACAAAGCATATTCCTGTCATGCTGTTACCATCGATATTGCCCAACGCCATAATTGTCACCGTCAATACGAGCGGCACACACCAGGCGATCAAATGAAAATAAGCACCCTTTTTATCAATTCGATCTTGTATCTTGCCAAGTGCTCGGAAGCTCATGTGCCAGGCGTACGTTAATATGACGAACCACACCATAGCTGCCATTAGAAAATAATACACGAGAACGAAGACGACGACGCACGATAAGTTCTCCCCGCTATAAAAATAAACGTTTTACAAAATCATATCGATACAAAAGACTGTTATAAAGATATTTGTGAAATATACCTTGGTTCGCTCATCCTTAAAGTTCCATCTTTGCGGCATACAATTACCTCTCTGCTGCCAGGAGTAAATTGAACAAGCCAACCAATGCAAGATACCATGAAACAACCATTTATATAAAATATCACTAAAGCTGGATACTTATTCGCACTTCTCCAATCTATTAAAAATGTTATCTGCAACATATATAATTGAACATATAACATATATATAGTATCATTAGTTATAATTACATTTTTTACGAAACTTACAATGGTAAATAAATTGAAGGCACAGCAAATACCTGCGGCCCATACAATAAACGAATGTATTTCATTATGCTCATCTAGTGTGTATAATGGGTCATTGCATGGTATTCCGCAGCCTTCCACTCCATCAAAAATTGAAAGAGCATTGTCAGTAGGTATAAGAGGTTTCAGACACTTGCCTGAACTATTAAATTTTAGTTCTCTAATATCATTTTTGCATAATTGTGGAAACAATTTAAAGTTGTCGCACTTTGCAAAACTTGGCCATATCGTATGATTAACCAGCATTCTACAAGCTCCTGATACCATTCTGCACATCTCTTGAGATGACAATTCAACTGTATTATTGATACATTTTGGCAGATATATTGAACATAGAAATGGTTGAACAACAGCCCAACATTTTGGTACATGTTTCAAAGCTTGTAACAAATGCAATCTTTCCTGAAAATTAAAAAAAAAATTAGCACAGAAAAATCCAATGTCATCAGTGTGAAAATAATCAAACATGATACAATGTATTAAAAAATATGTTAAGAGCTAAAATAAAAATATATTCAAGTACAACTGTCATAATAAAACACATTATCTTTAAATCTTCAATATTCTACACTATTATAAGAAAAGATATAAGCCTATATATAATGACAGAAAAAATACCTGAGGTAATTTCAAATATTTCTTGATTAAACCTCTTGCTTCACAAATGCAAAGTAAGCTTATTCCTAAAAATGCTTTGTAATGCTAAGTTTTTAACTTGCATGCATAAGCGTTCTTAAAGGTCATACCATGCTTTATCGCAGAAAAAAAATAGGTTACCACTAATGTAAAGAATATATAAATAATAATCTTATCTACCTCAATAATGTCTTGCGTTATAGGTTCTGGTATAAAGTCCAATGTAGTAAAAGAATAAGATAATTTTGTACCCATACAGGTACTTTTTTGTAATGGTATACATTTGGCAAATCTGCGACAAGCTAAGACATCCGGTGATTTTCCAATAGGATATCTATCCAACAGATAACTGGAATCTTCAATCCTGTGCCGAGTATTCAACTCCATATTTTTCCACGTATTGTTTTCACCATCGTTGTTTGTTGTAAATTCATGCTCCAATTTCGAAGACGACGGATGAAACAGGAAGCAACAAAGGACTAGTAAAAATATCATCTGCAAAAGACAAATCTTTCACATTCTAATAAAACTAAAATTTAATATACAAAAATAAGCCTATCATCAAAGCCTTATCCACAAAAAATTTTTTATAAACATATATTTTACGTGATATAGTTGATAATTACATTTCAAAATAGAGTCACGTGGAGTGCAGTAAACAATGCGGCGAGAGATGCATACTATTGTGCGTTGCGCTCACGAATTGACGCCGTTGTTCTTATAGACAATTTCGGCTAACCGCGTGGTACAGTTTCCGTTTCGTTCGGTTGAAGCGTCTCGCATCTTCTACAGTCGTCGCGACAGCCGCACTCACAGCATACGAAGCAGCCAGACCACACACGCGTTATGTTCCCGCTCGTCGGACCACCCACGATGCACTTCCCTTATACCCTTGCCTTTCTGAAGTTTGAATGCACGTTATAACTGGTTCCGTGCATTACTCACCAGTGGCAGCACTGTATTGCGCTGTCACTAGCGTGGCCAGATTTGAGACGCAAGAAGCAAGCAGCATGAATGGAGGGGATATTGCGACGACATGTGAGTTCTGCGCTTCGGCCAGCTTCGGACTGGAAAAGAGCGTATTATTTCTGTCCTTTTTTACCGAATCGGCAACGAAGACGACGTCGTCACATCGCTGGTGTGTTGTTATCTATAATAGCGTTAAATGATTTCAGATTTGCAATTTTTATATATATATATATATATATATATATATATATATATATACACTATAT